TGTCCCACACTGCTTTGAAATTTGTCGCGGCTTGAATCATCGACGGTATTACAGCTCAAGGGCGCACCATGAAACTTGCTGTGGACGCAATTGCAAGACTGGCGCTTTACACGAGATGCCATTTCCGAATCCGCTTTCTTTTTACTTTTCGTCCGGCGGCTCGGACGCATGCGACGCAGTTTTGACACTGCTGCAAAGTTCTTATTTGCTACGATGACAGGTTTTGCGCCTTCTTTTACACGCGTAGTACTGTTCGTCTTTCTCGCGGCTTTGCGACGCCTCTTTAGTCTGTGCCGTTTCTTGCGACTCGTCTCGGAGCCTACTGCTCGCAACTCAAGGTCGCTAACACTCTCACTGCACTCGTCAGCTGTCGACGCCGCGCCGTCTAAATAATTTTCGAAAAAAACACCTATTGCACACTCTAGACTGGCGGACAGCTTGACTCTCTTAGGAACAGTGCAGCTGCTTCCCTTCAAAAAATCTCGCTCGCCTTGCTGGGAGCTGCCTACAACCGTACTGTTTTCCTCACTCTCTGCATTCGCTGCTTCTGAGCTTTCTCCGGTGATCTTGATCACTTCCACATTGTTTACAAGATCCACCGTCGCGACAAACACAGTTGAGGTCTGTACCAGCTTTTCTACAGCTACCCTAGCTGTTTCGCTAGCATTTACTGGCACAGCACCTCGCTGCACTTGCTCTGGCCTTTGTCGGCCTCTCTAAGTATAGCACCATCTTCCGCAGCTCTCACATACGGTTTATCTGCGAACCTGCTGCGCTCTTCACACGTGCTAGCTATCTCTAATGCCGTGGACTGCACCCCACTCATTGGATCATTGCACTTCTCGTGCGCTACAGTTGCGGATGGCTGAAACTTCTGCCATATTGCTTCAATTTTACGTTCCAGAAGTTTAATCTCCAACTCGCGTGCTTGATGACGCTCTTTTTTATACCTTCTTTTCTTCTCTTTCTTTTTCCTGTTCCTCTCGTTCTCGTTCCCGTTCCTCTCTTTCGCGTTCCTCTCGTTCTCTTTCCTCTCGTTCCCGTTCCTCTCTTTCGCGTTCCTCTCGTTCCCGTTCCTCTTTTTTCGTTCTCTCTCTCACTCCTCCATTTCCTGTTTTTGTTCTGCACACCTTCGGAAAGCTTTTAACGCGTATCCAATATCCTCCTCACTGGCGCTTTCCAAAATTAGCTCTAAAATATCTGACCTGCCCATTCCTTCCTTAACTTTAATACCCAGGTCTTCACAAATGTACAAAAGACCATCTTTTAGTAGTGTCCTCACCTCCATGATTGCCGTTATACTTTGGTCCTGCATCACACAAATATAGGGGATCCCTCTAACACACAAATAGGTGATCTCCCTAACTCACACACAATCCAGCTTCTAATAAACTCACACAAATGAAGCCTGGAAAGTCAAAGCAAAGACCAAGCACTCACCACAGCACAGCACCATATCGTGAAGTTCATCTCACCGCTGCCAACCTGTTGTTATGGGTCGGAAGGAGGAAGTGGCTGATGATGACATCCCACCGCTGCCACCAGTTGTTGCGAATGGGGGACTACCCGGTCTCTTGTGGTAGCGTGGTGTAATCGGGTGGAGAAAACGAACGCTGAAAAGAAGAGGATACAAAAAACAAACAGGTTTATGGCACTATTTACACTTATTTACAGCATAAAAGGTTAGTGGTTTCACAAACCACGAGCGTGGTGGTTGAACCGTTACATGGTTCAGAGCGACGTCCAGCACTCTGCGGCGTCATTTTAAGCCCTGTCGGGCTCCTCCTCTTTGAGTGGAACACCAATCACACACGCACAACAGGTGAGGGGGACGAGCATGCACAGTCCACGTGAACGTCTAATATTGAGTCGTGATCACTGCACTGCAAGGTGGCTCCAGCGGGGCTCTTCCTCGTCGTGTGTGTGCCGCTAGTCGAGAGGTACCAAACTTCTGACAGCATACATCAAATGGTCCACCGATTTGTTCGCTTAATTAGCGGGGCGATTTCCGGCGGCCGCCACGGTCTCTTCCAAGGAAGATGCTGTCTTTGTTGTCCTCTCCCGAATCGTTAACGGCGCGTGGCGACACAACGTCTCACCCTCGGGCTAACAGGCACAATGCCTGGCAGGCATAGGCAGCCCACCGGTCGGCTACGTGATTGAGGATTAAAAGAGTGCCGCTCCCCTGTCAGCTCTGGCGCCGGTCACAACAGCTTCCCCATCGCCAGATGAGTCGCCAAGGCCATCAGTCACCGCTGCTGCTCGAAGGGACGATGAAAGGGTCCGTAGTTGAAAGTCAGGAACTCGCTTTTGCTTGCCACATGGTCTGGGTAATTGCCGAAATCTTCGACAGCGTCTTGCACACTGGACGCCAAAGGGATTGAGAGCCTCCCCAGTATATCGGCTAACGCACAATGGCGTCTGCCCAGACGAATTGCCGGGCCAAACTTAACAGCGGCAACAATCGTGGGCGGAATGGAGCTGCAAGCTGATTGCTGCT